TGATGGTAGGAATTTGTTGATGTGACCTTTGCTCAGTGTCAAAACAAATCCAGAGTTGAAGTCAATGCATTTAATACCTTCTATTCGCAACATATGTAGATCAGGTTTTTTTTATTTCACTTTTTTCAGGTTGAGCTGTTAATTGATTACATGACTGAATTAATCCTAGTTAGCAGCCCCGCTATCATGCCTGGACTACTCTACGTATCAGCCCATTATTGGGTTTGACCTCCTGCTGGGTGTTAGGGAAATTCAGCACATGGAAGATATGGTCTGTTAGGTTGACAAGCTACAGACCCCATCACTCTCAGTAGTCATAATCAAAGAATTATGAATCATTTGAGTTGGAAGGAACCCTCTCCTGTAATGAACAGGGACACCTATAGCTAGACTGGGATTCCCAGAGCCCTTTCCAGCCTGTCCTTGGTGCCTCCAGGAATTGGCATCCACCAGCTCCCTGTGCAGCCTGTGTCAGTGCCTCACCACCAGTTTTATTTTTTTTTTTTTGTGAAAAAAAATATCTTTGTTATATACTGTCTAAATCTCTCCTTTAGTTTGAAACCATTACCCCTCATCCTATCACAACAGACTCTGCTAAAGAATTGGCCTTCTTCTTTCCTGTAGATCCCCTTTAGATACTGATAGGCCACTCTCAGGTCTCCCAGGAGCTTTCTCTTCTCCAGGCCAAACAGCCCCAGCTCTCTCAGCCTGTCCTCATAGGAGAGGCATTCTATCCCTGGGATCATTTTTGTGGCTCTCCTCTGGACATGTTCAAACAGATCCACATCTCTCCTGTACTGAAGAGTCCACATCTGGACACAGTACTGGACACAGAAGGGTAGGATCACCTCCCTGATCTGCTAGCTGCACTTCTTTTAGCTTGTCAGGGTCTCTCTGAATGGCATTCTGTCCCTCGGATGTGTCAGCTATACCACACAACTTGATGTCATCTGCAAACTGCTAAGGGTGCACTCAATCCCAATGTCTATGTCACTGATGAAAATGTGTATGGGAACTGCTGAGTCACGGCCTGAACCTCTGATTGACCACCTGAGGCGAGCACTGAGTCAGCTATAGGAGCACAGGTGCAGGCAATTCTCCTGTGCTGCCGGAAGGGGGGGAGCCTGGCTGCACCTCTCCCAGACCCATTTAAGAGCTGACCACCAGTGGGGAAGGAGCTCTTCTGGTGATCCACTCCACCAGAGTTTCCCACCCAAACCCAGCATAGGGTGAATGTCCTTCTTTTCTGCTCTAGTGTAATAACTACATAAGTCAAGCTCTTGGATATACTATATCATCTGTATATTCATTGCTTGTACGAAATGTTAAAGAGCACAGGCCCCAGCACTGAGCCCTAAGGGGCACCATTTGGACACTGAGCCACTGAGCACCACTCTCTGGGTATGACCTCACAACCAGTTCCTCATTGAACAGTCCACCCACTAAATCCATGTATTTCCAGTTTGGAGAGAAGGATGTTGTGGAGGACTGTGCCAAGGACCTTGATGGAGTTCAGATAGATGACATCAGTTGCCCTTCTCTTGTTCACTGATGCAGTAATGTCATCAATGATTCACAATGAATTAATTTAGCTCTATTATAATGATGCAGTAGTGCTAAATTCAAAGAGTATTTAGCTCAAAAGAGGAAGAACGTAGCATGAGAAACCAGAGTAATTAGATGTACCTACACTGGTATCCAAGGAGAGCACGGAAATTATGATTTTATCCTGAAAGAACTTTGCAGATAACCTTCTTGCCGCCTGCAACTCCTCCATGACTTTCTCACATACCATTCTACTGCTAATCTTTCCTTTCAACCTTTCCTTTTCCATTCTTTCTATATAATGCTGACATCATATGCTTTACTGTAGCACAATCTAGCTTTTACATAAGTGAGGACACCTGAACCTTGCCTATTGTTCAGATCAGATGGACAAGTCCTGCCCATTTTAACAACCTCAAATCTGGACAAAATGTTCTGCTCTTTTTACTATTTATTTGCATAGTAACATGCAACAGAAAGGCACTCCTGAATCACAGAGCCTAGCTCCTGCCACTGTAGAAACTGTGCTGTACAATTGCCTCTCAATTTATCAAGTACCACATCAGAAGTGGGTATATTTTTGTTCCCACTAATTCCAAGGAAACACTGTTTCAGAATTTGATTGCTGTAATGATTGGAAACATTTTTCTAATCTTCTGACTAAATTTATTAATGGCTAGTTCGTATCTGTTTATTCATGTATCAACACTGACCTGCAAATTAAATGGTTTTCATCCTTCATTTTTATTTTCCTCATATATTTATAGAGAACACTCCTATCTCCTGTTTTTGTTTTATTGAAATAAACAAGCTGAGCCAAATCTGTTTGTACAAAATGCTCCCAGTCTTTCTGGTGACCCACCTACTCTTTCTCTACTTCAGTTCCACCTTAGCTCAACTATAGAACAACTACAAACTTCCACGGTACCCCAGATGAGCTTTCACCTAAGAGCTTTAAGTTCCTTCAGCAATGACACTGATACCTCCTTACTTTAAATGGAAATATATGTCCTGAGATGTTCTCTGGACTTACGGTGATTCCCAAGTGTAAATCATCACCAGATTTCAATAGTGTGCTCTTATTAATCTTACCAGGACTACAGAAAAATTATCAAGTATCCAAAAACCAGCCCTTTATGACTGACATTTTCCTTTTCAAATGTTATCTATGGCTATCTCACTTCACATTTCCTCTCCTGACCCTGTATTTTCATTCTTTCCAGGTGATATGATATGTTTTATTGAAGTTTTTTTTTAATTGAAACCACATTTGACTCGTAAATCTCTACTTCCCAAAAGTTTTGCAAGTGATTTAGACCAGACTTACAGATCTCTGGTTGGGCAGATCATCTGTCTTATATTTGTACATAAGCTATCACGGCACAGGTTCAGCTGACCTGACTTCACAAAATTAACACACAGAGAGATGGGGAGCAATTCGTGACATGACCTGTCCTCTGCCAACGGCTCCCTCACCCAGCACACAGGCAGTCTGTTCTCTGTGGGCTCACTGGGATACCTCAGATAAAAGTTAAAGTTGGAGGGCAAGCTGATGTTCTCTAGAGAGATTGTAACGTCCTTAAAAGATGCATTGAAAAAAAACAACTACTAGCTTTTATGTAACACCTGTTTCAGCATTTTAGATGCCATCCCTACCAAAGCATGGCAGGGGGTTTTGCACTTGCTGCTGCTGTAGTAATTTCTGTTCTGCCACTCACGTGCTCAGGACAAGCATGCTCTGATTTTGAGGGATTTAACAGAGGCTCAACAGGAGGTGCTCACATCCTTTCCTGCTCTCTCATTTATATCACTGAAAAATCTTCTGCTTTTAAAATTCCATGACAGCATGATACAAGTTCATCTACTTGGTAGAAATTTGAAGTAATTTTAAGCTGAAAAAGAACAGATAATTGATTGGCAAAAATAACAAGAAGTAGCAGAAGAAGCAGGTCAGCAATAATCAACTGAGTCAAAAGCTTTTGACTGTATTTGTACATACTGCACATGTAGGTGGAAAGAAAGGGAACATAAAAATTGCTCAGCCTTCTAAAAATACTATTAAAAATCCCACTGAAGCATATTGCAGCATCTTGTAAAATTTTATTCAATTGAAGTATATTTTTATTTCATTAATCAAGATCATCATCAGCCACCAGGCCCATCAACCATGCTTCTTCTGCACACTTTTCTGAATAATCCAGTTGCACAATAAATAAAATTTCAAGTCAGAAGGGGTCAACTGAAAATATAAGGAGTTTGGATTTTTTATTTTTTTTGTTCATCCTTTCCCAATTTCATTAAAAATAAACTTTTTCCTCATTTATTTCTAAAATTTTAGCAGATTCAAGTTTCCTTTGCCCCATCTAAAAGACTATATGGAACTATTTATAGGTAGTTTTATTATTATTATTGTTTTATTGTTTTGTCCTGTTTCTGAATCTAGGTATTGGGCCTGTTTTTGTGTCCAAAATAAATTACAACAATACACAGAAGAATTGAACTATGTAGCTCCTATTTTGCTTATACATTGTAAATCCTTTCCAAATCTTGCTCTAGGCCATGAAAAAAGTCAGGCAAATTCTTAAGATGGCACCTGATGGTGATATAGGTCGCTTTGCTTCGCAATAGGGATTAGCACATTAGCTTAAGAACCAATATATTAGTTCAGCAAAAGGAATCTGTGAGTGATGGTTCTAAAACTTTCCATTTCAACTTCAGTGGGTGAATAGTCATGTTTTCCTCAACAATTTTGCACTGCCAACGTAATAGGATACTTTTATCTTTCGCCTCAATGATTTTGCCTCACAAGAAGCACAGGAGTCATAAGAGAACACTTCCATCTTCTACACCGAGAAGGTGCAAGGACATCTTCCTTGGATTCCACCTATATCACTCTAAATGTTGCTCACCATGGCATAATAAGCAATGGAGATTTTCCAAATTGAAGAAAAGCGGTTGAAAATCAGCCAAAGGTCTCTGTGACGAAGCTGATGGCAGAAAATGGGGAAAAAACAGGTGGGCACTTGACCATCCTAGATATTAGTGAGCATGTCCAGAGGGACATTAGCATATATTAGCCAGTCCTTGAAAAAGAATGAATGTGTATGCAAAAGTACTGCATATATATGCCTTAACTGTTTGAATGCAGAACCTGAATCTGAGGGGGTGTGCTTGCTTGTCGTGTCACCGGGTGCTGCTGTGAGGAATAAAGGCATGCCGACTTCGAACACCACATTGCAGTTGGAGAGTTTTCTTTCCACATTTCGGATGACGGTGGGACGCACCCTGGGCGTTGGGTGAACGTTCCGTTGGGCTGATAGCAGCATAGGTGACCCGCTTTTCTCTTCACGTAACAGGTGGGAGCCACAGGGAGGCACCCCCGGGGCGGGAAGGGCCGCGCATGCGTACCGCCGCCCCCCCTCACCGCGCCGCCGCGGTGATGGCGGCTGCTGGGGGTTGAGCCGAGCCTCTACTGCCGCACGCCGGGCCTGCGGGGAGGTGGTGGCCTGCAGCATGGTGCGGTGTGGAGGAGCGGCGCTGCGGAGGGTCAGTGCGGGGCGGCCGCGGGCGGGGCGGCCCTAGCGGCTGCGCGGCCCTAGCGGCTGCGCGGCCCTCCGCGTGGCTGCCGTGGCCGCTTTCACCCCTGAGGCCTCGCCGTCCTGCACGCCTGGGGCTCCGGCCCTGTGAGGGCTTTGTGCCCGTGGCCCGGCCTGAGCGCTGCCCATTGCTGAGAAGGACGTGGCGGCCGTTGCCCGCACCGCTCGGTGTCCGGGAGGGCTGCGCGGAGAGCGTGTGGGTGTGGTGTGGAGGGATGGGTTGGAGGTTGGACTGGGTCATTCAGAGAGCTGCTCAGCCTTAGGGATTCTGTGATTCTACTCTGTGTCTGCTTTCAGAACTTCATTGCCAGAGAAAAGCGCTACGTGAGGCATTTTATCCGGGCTTTATCTAGTGGCTCTAAAATGAAAGCTAAACAGAATGAAGTGCTGATGCGAAGCTTTGTGCCTTCTTAGTATGGAAACTTCATCGATGATTTGCGGCTGTATGTGAGAGGAGGAACAGGTGGAATGGGTTATCCCCGCCTGGGCGGGGAAGGAGGGAGAGGTGGCGATGTCTGGTTCGTTGCCCAGGAAAGATCGACCCTAAAGAGCATGAAGGCGAGGTACCCAAAGAAGCGGTTTGTGGCTGGAACAGGAGCCAACAGCAGGTTTGTCTGGTTGTTAGCATCTGTCCTTCCCGCATAGCAAAGCGTTTAAGTTACTGAGCCTGGCTTAATGTCTCCCAGCCTTAAAGCACTGAAAGGTGAAAAAGGGAAGGACTGTGAAGTGCATGTGCCACCAGGGATTTCAGTTCTTGATGATGATGGGAAGAAGATTGGTAAGAACTTGTGCTTTCATTTAATATATCCTAGTATATAATGTCATTTATCGATATTTCTCGACATTTTGTAGACTTCTAATGCTACACATATCCCAAAATATGTGGTGTTTGCTTTTTGTTGTTGTTGTTATTGTTGTTGGCCAAACAGAAACTGACAAAAATTATACTTAGAAAATGCTGGACAGGCAGAGGCCCCTTCCAGAAATTAGTAATAGTTAATTTGTACCGCTGTATGCAGCAGAACATTTGTTGCAACAATTCCCTGTGGCTGGAAGCCATAATGGTCTATTATTGGATTAATGATGTGTCCTTAAGCTCAGTGAAGCGTCCCACTGACTTTACTGAATTATGACATAGCTTAGAAAAATAAAGATCCTTGCTGAGTGCCAGTATTTCAGGTTATCTAAAATGTTCGTTATTTAAAAAAAAAAAAAAAAGAAAGTAGTCATTACTGATAACCAGGAAGAGCATCAGTAGAGATGCCTCTTTATAAAATAGCATGGAAGATTCTTTCTTCATTGAAATGGGAAATCGCACCTGAACCATTGCAGGAAGTTATGCTTTTTCACTAACTGATTTATTTTCAGGAGAACTTAATGGAGCAGGAGAGAGATTCCTGGCAGCTCGGGGAGGTCTCGGTGGCTCTTTGGCCACAAACTTCTTGCCTTGCAAAGGTCAGAGGCGAATTGTTCATCTTGATTTGAAACTTATAGCCGACGTGGGCTTAGTTGGGTAAGTACTGCAGTTCTGTGTTGTGGTTTGAGAACTGACATCAAAAATTAAAGCACTAAATTTCTAAAGGGATCTGAAAGAAATTACAGAGGTGGAGTTTGAGTGTTGTTGTAACCTTGCCACTTCAATTACTTCAAGTAATTAAGTAAAACCTATTAAAATTAATTCTAAAATTCTGAAAACATTGGTTATGCTTTGTCAATCGTGGTCATCAGTTTAACATGAGTTCAGCAACTGCAATGATTTTCAAAATGCTGTTAGCGAAGGTTTGTAGTTCAAGTGGTAGGTATCAAACAAAGCCAAGAGCAGTCTCCATATTGGTTCTTCCACTGTATGATACTGGCATAAGTGGATCCTTTCAGTAGATAGTCTTAAAGAAAATATTGAAGGCTACGTAGCCCACTCTCCCAATAAACTGGATGCAATGTGGGAAGGAAGAAATTACAAGCTAGAACAGTAGGGTTTGTATTTCTTTTGCACTGGTGCTTTTCAGTGTTGCTGCTTATTAACAACACAAGTAAACATTTATTTGGACAGAGCTTTTAACAAACTACAGTTGTGTAAGGATCGGTCTGCTTGGCATTATTTTTCCCTTTCAGTCCTTATTCATAAAAAAAAAAAAAAAAATCAGTAAACATTGTAAAGTAAAAGCAACTGGTTTTAAGCTGAAGTACTTTAGTTTGTATATTCCCTCACAGAATGGAGCCCTAAATACAGCTGGATTTTTCTTTAATTTATTAGAAATAGTTCAGTAGCCCTGATAATAACAGAAATATTAGTTACATAATTTTCAAGTAATCTCCAGTAATTATGTTATACAGAATATTTTGGTTTTAGAGTTGTGTAAAATATAGGAGTTCTGTGGTGCTTCTTTAACCCTACATTTTAGCCTATGTTTTATCTGACGGTTTCCCTTTAAAACTCATTACATAAATATCATTTAATTTGAGGAGATGATTATTTTCTTGTTGAGAGTATAAATCAATCTCTGATAATTTGTGATTGTACTTTGATCTTGTAGAGTTTGTTACTTCAGTAGATTTGTAAGTGGTGTGCTATTAAATCAGGTCTGAAAGCATCTAGGCATTAGAAGGGGCCTCAAGTTTGGTGCAGATTGTGATGGATAGTGTAGGTTGCAATTTAAACTTCAAAGAGGATATTGTGCTTCAGTGGAAGCAAAATACATGCTTGAGGAGATGACCAGAGTAACTTTCCAGGCTGTCTTTAAGGCACCTCTCAATATCAGAGAGCATTAAAATTACCCTGAATAATTTTCTGTTCAAACAGAGTCTTTGTGTCTCTGATCTTTTTGAAGAAAGCCTTTACTAGCCTATCATAACTGCCCCTCCATAAAGCCCCTTAATTTAATATTAGTCTTATTTTTCGTATTAGTTGTACTTGCAAACAGGTTATGATTGCGTGTCTTTATGTGGAGACTACAGAGTTTTTTGTATGGCACATTCTGAGGTACCCACACCTTTGTGACTAATAATCATTTGCAAGCAGACATTTCCTTCAGTCCCTGTTGCAGTGAAGCACTGTGCTGAGTAACTGATATTGGGTGGAATATAAGTCTTGTGTGGTCTCCTGTGTGGAGCAGGTTGCTATAAGAAAACTTACAGACTCTGACTACAACTTAATGTTTGACAGGGATCAAAACTGTTGTGTCCTTTGCAGCTCAGACAATTCTTTAAAATGAGCAGGGTAATAAAATATACAAGAATCACATGTGTTTATTCACTGTATAAATTCTGACTTTCCCTCTAGGTTTCCAAATGCAGGAAAATCATCATTGCTAAGCAAGATTTCTCAGGCCAAACCTGAGATTGCAAATTATGCATGTAAGTTCACACTCTTATTTTTAATGCTGTAATATTCATGAGAAGAAGGTTTATAATAAAGGTTTACAGGTTTATAATAAAGAATAGGAGATAACCGTGTTGCTTGCTAAATATGTTGCACAGATTATGAATTATACCAAATACCTTTAGAAATAGCTTTCCATTTCAGTAACTAGTTCCTTTTTACATCCTCAGTTGTTCACATGTACACATCCGTAGTGCTTGAAGCTATTAATGCGAGGTCGATTTATTTTAGTCTCATCCCTTTTTGTTTCCTTTGAGACCAGTACCCTCACTCTACTGAATATGCAGCATCGTGTTCTTTTGCATAAGCATCTTTGGAAATAGCTACCACCTGTTCTTGCAACAGAGTAAGACTTCAGTTTTGAGTATCTACTGAAAGATACACTATTATTATCCTTTTTAAGGATTAGCCATCTGAACATTCTTTAATTAAAAAGTAATTTGGTGTGCTGTGCTCCTGCTGCCTGTATTTTGCCTAGATTATTTATCCAGAGTTCTACCTGTGAAAAGATGTTGTCCTCACCCACTGTCTCTTCAGATGCTGTGTGTTAAACAGATATGTGTTGAAATCTGGAGACATCCAGTAATCACATGGAGGGGTTCGTGCATGAGGAGAGGTCCATGTGATGGTTTTCTGTTTGACATTACTGAGGAAAGTAATTGGAGGCTAGTCAAAGTTACTTAATTAAGCAGATGACTTGCAAAACAAACTGAATGAAAAATAGCACTTTGAAATAACTATAGTAGATTCACATATGAAGACTACAAATGTTTGCCCTCCTTCCCTTTCTTCCAGACTTTAGTTCTGGGTATTCTGATTAAAAAAAACTTCAGGCCTTTGCATCATCATCAGTTCTGCAAGTAATTAAATGGAACAACAAAAAACCACCACGCTGATCCTTCTGGTCAGTCTGATCTCCATTACTCTGTCTCTCCATCTCCAAAAATTCTGTTTTAAAGTTACTCTTGAGTAAGCTACCGTTATACCGAGCATTAACAATAGCATGACTACAGAGCCTATGTTCTCCTGACCGTCAGTTAAAAGCTGCCAAAGGCCCTGGGACATGCTGTGTGTCCTAAAATGATCTTCATGTTTCTGATAATTAAGAGTACAGAAATACTATAGGTGAAAACACAAGTGATACCCATGCAACACTGAAGACGTTAGCAGCCTTCTAAATTGAACCAAAAGCAGATGATTGGAGAGAAGTACATAATAAATGCTTTGGATACTTCCCCTTTGTGAGCTCACATTTGTGATGTAGGGACTTCCAATTTATGCATGTTTAATAATTCTCAGTGAGTTGTCTGGTCTGCCATCAGTGACTGTTTTGAGTAACCGTGTGCCTTTGGCAAGGGGTAATGAAGTTTTAACTGCATCTTTGAAGAACACCTCCCCCTTTTTTTATGCATTCTGAGTTGGCTGCCACATATTTTGTGATGATGGCACCAAATGTTTACAGTAGAGATGTGCAAGGATTTGAGTTCTGGTAATTTCTACTGACCTGCTCGTTCAGCTCCTGATTCTCTACAGTCTTTTTAAAGAAGAATTCTAACTCTCTCATATTTCCTAATTTGACAGCCATTCCATGCTCTGAATAACCATTTTGAGTCTAACAATTTCTGACTCCTCTATTCCCTCTTTGGTCTGAGAGGATCAATACTGCATACAGTGCCAAGATCTGGTGAACCACTGAGTTACAGAGTTGTCCAATTTTATTTTTTTTTCCTCTATATTCCTTTTCCATTTATTCTGCTTGCCTTTTCTGCTGCTGAACACTTGTATCATGTAAATCTAAAGTCAGAAAGTTGTGCAACTTTTGAATATTTTTGAATGTTAACATTTTTTTTAGTAATTAAAACAGTTTTGTGTCTTTCCCCTCCTTTTTCCCTCTTGTCATAGTTACAACGATACAGCCTGAGCTAGGAAAGATCATGTATGAAGATTTTAAACAGGTTGGTATGAAGGTTTGTTCTGGTTGTGTGTAATGGTTATCTATGTTCCTTGACAGCGTTTCAAAAAGAAATGGAAACTTAACTTGTAGAGTTTTCTGGATGTATGTATGTACATAAGACAATTACATGGGTTAAAGGGAGGTTGTGGAGAAAATATTAAACAAACAAACAAAAAAAAAAAACAGTAATAAGGTGGCTCTATAGTCAAGTGCAGTGCATGCTGAATTGGTCTGAAGTCACTTTAATAAATGGCTTCACATTTTCCTCTGCCTTTTTTCTGTGATTCTAATCCTGTGTTATAATCTCAGAGTTGTGAGTTTGTGTTTGGGAGTGAGATTGCTGTGTCCTAGCTTACTCCTGTTAAGTTTAGGAGCTGATCAAATGTTACAAAAAATTACTTGCTATTTTATTCACAAAAGGCACATTTTGACTATGTGGAGATGACTCAGGGATGAATGAGTTATTCTCAGAATTAACTGTAATAGGAGCTACTTTATCCAGCAGCTGCAGATCCATAGTAGTGAATGAAGTGGAATACAGTTACTATAACTTCTTGTTCTGCCTTTCTGGATTAACTTCTTTTCTCTAAATAAAAAGCATAATTAAAATGAAGTGAGAGTGACTGCATGAACAGCCAGAATAGTGTGATCCTTAAGGGGTAGCTGGGTCCACTTTCCCTTGTGGTAGCTGCAGACTGCCTTGCTTTTTGTGATCCCAATTTTACCTAGCATCTTCAGGTAATTCTGGGGTGCTCTGAATGCTTTCTGAGGATTCAAACATTGGAGAGGAATACCAATGCAAAATAAGGTTCTTACTAGCACATTTTGTTACAGAGTTGGACCATGTAGGGCTAAGTAAACATTTTTGTTCCTCAAGCTTAAATCTTTGATGTAGTTTTGTTTCTAAGTGTATGTATGACGCAGGAGGTACTGAGATCAGCACTTCAAAGATAAAAGACAAATGCATAAAAGGTCTTCACATGAGTTAATTGGAAAAGCTTACCCTTCAGATGTGAAAAGGCAAACTCCTCTTTCCCCCTTCAGAAGCAATAATCTTAGGGGATTTGGTAGTTGATACTTGAAATTTTCATTTACCAGCCTTCAGCATTATTGTATGCTAAAGGAAGGAGATCTAATTTGCCAGGCTTTTAAAAACATGCAGGTTTTCGGTCAATTTGTATTCAAGTTGAGACAAACCCATCAGTCTATGCAACATACGAAATGCAGCTTTCTGGGAAGGTTTTGTTACCTCCTTTGAAGTGGGCCGTTCTCTACTACTCCTAGATTCAAACAGCTAAAGGAAACTTTTTGTTTATTCATTTTATCTGCTTGTTATGGGTAACATCCTAGAAAACTGTGTTGCAAATAATAAGCTGGTTTATATTGTAGCCTTTGAAAAACTACCTGCTATGAACTCAGGAACTCTTGCTTTTACTGGAGTGTTATGTTCCAGCAGGAGAGCTACTCGTACTGACATTCTTTTCTGCAGCTGGTTTATCATTTCCAATGACCTTTACATCTTGGCTTATTCTGCATTTTGTGGCTTTTAAACATCAGTGCTGGGTGCTATATAAAAGCTATACGTACAACATACCTCTTTTCTAAAATCAAGGGAACTAGTGACTGTGATTGCACTGAGCATCTGTGAGTGGGAGGAAGTAATTTGGCTCGCAGTATTGCAACTGCTGAAAACAAAACAGCGGGAGCAACTAAGAGCAGTGTGTGAGGTGGCTGTCCTGTATCGTTCAGGGGAGGCTAGTTCACTGTATCTTTTTATTTTCCTAGAAGAGAACATTGAGGTTTCTAAAGAAATATGTAGCAGTGCCTGTTTTATTTTAGTACATTACAAAAAAAAAGTAAAGGCCACCTGAGTTATGTACTACTTGCAAAAGAACCTTGATACACAGCAGTGCAAAAGTAGAGAGTATGAGCTTGGGGTTCAGCTCATAGCACCAGGTCATGAAAGCTGTCAGAACCTTTCACATATTGTACCAGAATACCTGAACCAAGTGCTGTTTTGAGAGAATCTGAGTTTTGTTGAGCTCTATAAAAAAATTCTTTGGAATACAACTCAAGTCATGAAACCAAACGTCAGGAAGTGGGTGGTTTTATTCCAATCCAGTAGTTATTCTCTCCTTATTTCTACTTCCAAGTCAGCAGTTCACCCACCTGTATCTCACATCCCTGTAGATGGAAAATTCTGAAGCAAGGCTTTTGAAGTGCTTGGGAAATGGGTAACGGTTAAAAAGTTAGTGGGACTGGTAAAGGAGAGCGCAACTCATAGCAGAAAGTGGGTTGCATGCTGAAATTTTGTTGTGTGCTGGCTTTGAACCCTGTTTGACTGAATCCAGCTGCTGTCCAAATGGCTGTCAGATAGGTGCGAGCCACAACTTCTGCACTCTTCTGTCTTGGCTTCCTGTGGGTTAATGGGTAGCTGTGGGGTTTTTTAATATTCTGCTCTTTATTAGTCTGTCTTAGCTCTCCTTTACAGCTGTACATAGCCCTCCCAAGCAGCAGAGACCTGTTCATTTTGGCAGTTCTTGCTGGGCTCTGGTTGGCAGCTGGTATACTAATAAACATCTCATTTCAGCTGAAGAGCAGAAGATAAATACTTGCAGCTTCTCATGTTCAGGGGAGCAGTGCTAAGTGAGTTTGTATTTGACATTACAATTTTTCTGTACCCACGAGGAGCAGACTTCATTTTCTTTTCTGGTGACAGTTTGAATTCTGTATGTACTCGATAGCCCAACTTTCCCAGTTCCTAGAATGTGTTTTACTCTTAGGTAAATGTTGCAGAGACATTTTTATGCCTCTGCTTTTTAGACAGTTATAAATAAACAGAGGGGGAACATGAGGAGCAGGATGACTGTGGAATAGTAGCGTTGTTTCAGTCTGCTTCTGATGATGGGTTTTTGATGTATGGAGAAAAACCAGTGTGTTATGCCAGAGAACTGATCCCCCACACAATTCCAAGGAGTACGTATCTGTAAAAGGAGCCTTTCACAGTAGATATTCTTTGTGGTTTTTGTCTGGATTATATAAAGTTGTAGTAGACATGAATAGTTTAAAATCACTTGTGCATATTGGAAATCTTTTATTTGAAACTTTTGTTTTCCTAGATTTTAGTAGCTGATCTCCCAGGACTGATTGAAGGTGCACATAAGAACAAGGGGAGGGGACACAAGTTTCTCAAACATGTGGAAAGAACCAAACACCTCCTCTTAGTTGTAAGTTGAATAAAATACACAGCATATTGAAATCAAAGACAGGGTAATAAATACAATGCATCTTAATTACAGTATAGCTGGAATTTCAGAAATCATTTGTAACTTGGATACTTTATAATAAATATAGCTATTATTTTGTTATTAGAATAGAGAGCATAAACAACTGTCTGATGCTAAATTAAATCCTTAAGCAGAATTTATCATTAAAACCTGACAATTAATTTAGAGCTGTGAAGTGTTCCAGTAATAATTAAGGCTAATGGGTAATTCTTTTTTTTGTTTTTAATCCCCTCCCCCCAGTGTTCCCATAAGGAAGGGTTTGAAAATCAGGGCTTTGAGAACCATCCTCCTAGACCCAACTAGTTTGTGCTTCCAGTGCCTGTGATTTTATTTTGGAGTGTAGTTTCCCTGTTATTTGCCCAGGAATGAGGACGTGTTCACAGAGGTTGTACCACAGAGTAGCTATTGGAGAGAGCCTTGATATTGTAGCATAATGTCATAACGCTAAGCTGTTGTGTTTTGTTTTGTTTCTTGTAACTTTTTCAGGTTGATGTCGCTGGGTTTCAGCTCTCTAATAAGACTCAATTCAGAACAGCCTTTGAAACTGTATTGCTTCTAACTAAGGTAACTTATCATCCTGTCAGTTGTAGTTGTGCATTGAGCCAAGAAAGCATTAGTTTTAATGAAGAAATTTCAAATTTCATGTGTTTTCTAGGCTTATAATCCAAGGATCAATTAAGAAGCTTAGCATTCTCATAAGTGATAAAATCTTTAACTGTCTGATGAAAGTGCTTTACTTTGAGCTTAACAGCTCCGTCATTGATCTGTCATGATCTTTGTCATGGTCGAGTGAAGGTGAAAAGATGCAGCTTTTTCAGTTCTCCAATGCATTAGCCTTCTGGAAGTAGGAATATGTGAGTGTAGTTAAATCTCTGCCTTAACACCCTTACTGTATAGCCTAATAGAGATGAAACAACAGGCCTCAGCTTTGCAGACGTTCATTCTTTCTGTTTTTTATCATTGCTTCTGATTGAAATGATGCAGCTTATATTGTGTAAGTTTAGCAGTTTTCTCAGTTGTTCTACAGCTTTAGATGATGGGTCTTCAGAATTCCAGCTTGTTGCTTTGTTTACCTTTAGCTGTGTCATGCTTCTCTTATGTTTTTTTTCTGGTATAAATCACTATCTGTGCCTAAAATCCTTAGAATCAGAAACCTGTCCCAAGAATTTCCTTATGTTTCATAGACATGATTTTTTTTATGAACAGAAAAATAAAAAGAAAGCCGTCATTCCTTTATAGGGAGTGTTTCAGAATCATCCAGCCTGTTTACCTGAATTATCTGTGTAGTACAAAAGATCACTGAAAGTTTGAACATTTCCTTATATCAGGCTCTTTTAATACATCTGCTTTTGAGTCCCTGAGTAACCCTTACAGCTGCCTAGACATTGGATCTGTTTAGACAACTAAGTAAATGAGAGAATATGTGTAAAATTGAAGCAGCGCTTTTTAAGCTACAAATACTTATTCAGGCAAATGTATTTGTCTTTTAAGGAATTGGAGCTGTACAATGAAGAACTTCTGACAAAGCCTGCACTGCTTGCTATTAATAAAATGGATTTGCCGTGTGCAAAAGATAACCTGAATGAACTTATGAAACAATTACAGAATCCTGAAGGTAAATTAACTTTCAACAGTTATCTTTAACGGATCTAATAAGGAGTAACACTGCATTGGCAAGTTGTTGTTTGAAATTTAATGGAAATTGGCTATTAAACTTGTTATTTCACAGAATCACAGATTGTATATGTTTTAAAACAAATTTCTGTACATAGATGATCTCTGTTTCTGTGTACCTTTATTGCTGGCTTTGCTGTTAAAATAGAGATCCTGAAAGACTTTGCCCAGCTATGGGAGAGTTAATTTCCAGTTTAGGTATCATGAGTACCAAATGGTGACCTTTCAGGATCCCCTTAGAGACACTGATAGATGTACAGTTTATCACATGGCTTTGACCAAGGCGTGTGAAGATTCTGGGCAGCTCTGTGTAGGCTTTTGACCATTTTGCTGTTACATTGCAGTGAATTCCTTTCTATTTCCTGAAGCTTTAATTTAATTTAATTTAAGCTTTCCTGATTCTTACACACATCTTGCATATTCTGCAGCTTGGGATTTCTTTGTATGCATCTTTGTACGATGGCCCATGTGAGGGTTGGTATGTGATAATGCAAGGGCTCTGTTAGTGCTCGTCTTGTGAGACAGCTTTTTTTAAGATGAATTAAGCAAACAGTACTCTTACACTAGTTCCAGTTATGTTTTTCTGTTGTAACTGATGAAAGTCTTATTTTCTAAATGCAATGGGCTTTGTAGTGATTCAGTGTATCAGCTTTTACTAACTCTTGAACTGTTATGTTTCAGACTTCTTACACTTACTAGAGGAAGAAGCGATTCCTGAGAACACAATTGATTTCAGAGATATAATTCCTATATCTACATATAGTGGAGAGGGAATTGAGGAACTAAAAGCATGTGTAAGAAGATCACTAGATGAGGAAGCAGAGCAGGAGAATGAAGAATATCGGAAAAAGAAACTATCACTTTTACACAGTTCAGGAGAACAGATGAATAAAGGCTAGCATTCTTGACTAGATTTTAATATATTTTTGTATGTTCATGAACTCATTGCTACATGGACCTTCCTTTTTATTTTTGTTCCCTCTACCATCACTGCCCAGTTCCCTACTGCATTGCCTCAGTTCCTTTTGGTGCTTAGCTAGAGCGCAATGCTGAACAGAGCAGGTTTTCAGGTTTATGCTGACTACTGACTGAACAAAGCAGAGAACAAAGTGCAGCTCAAAGCATTGCCTAACAGTTGATGAACCCTGAAATATTGTTTGCCACACACGGATGAACAGAAGAAATAAAACCTATGGAGGTAGCAAAAGAGCAACTTGAACCACTTGTACCTTTTGTCATGAATCACAGATGCACCTGGGGAAATCTCTGATGGAGGAATTTTCCAGGTTCCATTGCTTCAGAGGTGAACCGGTACTGCTGCTCTGACAGATGGTAGGTTTTTGTTAGTTTTAAAGATCTAAAGGAGAACACAAATAAGTAGTCAGTCACAAGAAAGCAACATGTAGGAGCATGGAAAAGCAAGGCTGATGCCTGCTGGTTTGTTTTCCACACCTGCTGGTGCCTGCTGTACTTTTCTTCATTACGTAAACCCTGATCCTATATTCCCAAACCTAATTTGGCAGTTCTCCCTTTTGTGGAGGTGTGGTGGAGAAAATGAAGGCTGCTTTTCAGCAGAGCCCCGTGTTTTGGGGATTGGATTTTACAAGCAGCATGTTTAAAAGGTAAAATGTTAAAATAAAAGTCGTTTGTTGTACGGGATGCCTTTTATTGATTGCAATTACAGTAAGACGGAATTCATCACGTGCTTCTCAACTTAATTCTGGTTTCTGTGAGCGTACCAGTGAAATCCTGCCCTTCTGAACCTTGATAAAGCAGTCGCTGTGAAGAGGGCTAACTTCATTCCTACCGATCGTTAGCAGCGCGATTATCTTCCTCGTTTTACGGTAGTGCCGCGCAGGCGGACGGCGGCAGGCGGGCCGGGCACCGCCCTAGGGGGAGGATCCCGCCCTGGGGGGCCGCTGGGAGCTGTAGTCGCGGGCAGGGCTCGGGGCCGGCACTGCGGCGGCGCCGGACTGCAATCCCGCAGTGCGACGGGCCTCCCGCGAGGGGAAGAGGAAAGAGACCGCTCCGGCGGGAGGAGCTCGGCTACGATGCCCGTTCTGCGCGGCCTCGCGCCCTGACGGCCAGGTGAGCGGCCGGGAGGCGGAGGCGGCTCGGAGGAGCCGCGTGGGCCGGGCTGCGGGGTGGGCGCCGTGCGGCCGGGCTGCGGGCGCTGCGCTGCAGGCGCGGTCCGGTCGATGCAACCCGGCGCCGTCCGCTGTCTTCATCGGCTGGCGAGGGCGCGTCGGCTTTCTTAAAGCTCCCCGTGCCCTAGCTGAGGATGCTGCGTCCGGTCTGTTGGGTCAGGGTTTAATTTTTAACGGGGTGCTCGTGGAACTTAGAACCGAGTGAGAGATTTTTAGAAAAAAAGGGTTGACTGGCAGCAGTTACTTTGTATCGGCCGCTTCTAGTTATGGAGAAACGGGGCTGCTCTGGGCTCCTCCTCCTGGTCAGCGAGCCACAGCTCTAGTGCCTTAAACATGGATCTTCACAACAGGAGCTGTGGTGAAATCCGTCCCCGAGGGGCACTGGGATTGGTAGTTCTCACGAATCAGTTACGAGAGCTGTGAGGTGCGTTGGCTGTGAGAACCTGGAGTCTGACATTTAAGGCAGAAAAGGGCCTCACCTGCCCTGGCCAAAGCAGCTTTCTTCCCTTGGGCTGGTGCCTGAGGTTGGCGGTTGTTCAACACCGCCAGGAGGGAGAAGGGAGAACACGGGTGTCCTGAATTGTGACAGAGAAGGGGAGGAACTCTGTGTTTGCAGAAATGGAGGTCTTGCTGAGGTGGGTGTTCTGTGATGTTCCATGTCTCTGCTATATGTGTGCATTTCAACAGCTGGTGACCACAGGTATCCATCTGGTAATGGGAGGGGCTGGGCTCTTAATTTTCTACTTAATTATGGTTGTTCGTGAGCACTGGCTGATGCTTTTGAGGGTGTGAACCTCCAGAGGGAGATCTGCATGTTTGTCTTAGCTTACGTTGTAGCACAGTGCTCAGAAACCTTGAAAGCTGCTCAGAAATACTTCACCTGTTCAGTAATACTTTTTGTATTTTACTTTTTTGAGTCCTGAACTCAAGGAGAAAAAATTAACAAACTGTACTTTTGCTCTGGTGGAGCAGAACGTGGTGATGCTGACCTCTGCACTCTGCCAGAGTAGTTTGCGCAATTGCAACATTCAGCCTCTGCAGCTGTGGTTGTTTAGCCTGTTAGCTGGAGTCCAGTGCATGCCTGAATTGGCCCCATCTGCCCTTAGTGTCTCATATACAATAGCATTCAGATTGGAGGATTTTGGCATTGGAAGTTTATTTCCTTATTTAATGAAAAAAAATGGGGTAAAATTGAGTAAATGCTGTAAAGCCTTTCTTGCCTATATGGTCTGATAGAAGTTTCTTTGGTGCTTCACCCCAGGAGACCACGTCTGTATGAATGTTATAATTCCGGTTTTGACGTAGGTGATTTAAAGTGAACTTCATGTCTCTGTGCATGCTAGCACAGCAAACCCACCTTCAGGTCCTTGAAGTTGCACAATAACATGCTTGTAGATCTGACACCCTACCTACCTAGCATGGAAGTGATTCTCCTACTAGGACCTGCAGAGCTGGTTTTGGAACTCAGTGTTGCTGTTCCCAGATGTGGGTGAAAAGATAATTGAGGTGGGGTTTCTTTCTCAGGACAGTGCTGGGCAGGTACTGAAAAGCCATCACCAGTGCTTCCTGCCTTTTCCCCTTTTCCTTCAAACCTTTGTGCGTAGAGGAAGGAAAAGAGACCCACAAGTATATAAACAATTCAGACTCTCTTTTGTTCTTTGACATGAAAAATGATTCATCTTTTCCTCCCTGTTTTGAAAGTGGAGCCGGGAACCTAACCTAACTCTGTGTAACTATATGGATTTTTATTTTTTGGTGAGCATCCCTGAATTTTAAAACATCCATAGAAAAGTAGTTGTTTTCCACCTTTCTTATCTGTTTCTCAAACAGAGACAGGTAGATAAGAAGGAGTCCTCAGGGGAAAAATCTTGGGAGAAGGACAAAAAAAACCCAGTAGTTTGGGTTTTGTTTTTTAAATGGAAGAGGAAATTCTAGGAGTTGGATTAATGCAAACACATTTGAAGTTTCATATTTGTGAATTGCAGTGTAAACACTGTTGTTGGCTTTGCATAAAACAAATGTAATGCTGACTCTCCATGCTCCGTTTTCTAGATCCAGTAACAGCTTTTTCCTGGTTCTAAAAGCTTCTGAGGTTTCTCTTGATTTGAGTACACCACTGGTGAGTACACTGAATCTATATTTTTTTTTACTGTCTGAACCAAGGATTTGTTACTGCTCACTTGGTCGCTGTAAAAAAGTTTCCCCTGCTGGGGGAATTGTGCATAACATACGTACAAATTCACTTTTTCTTGATACCTTCCAACTAGAAAATAAGCTGTTTTCTACATCTCTTCCTTCCTACCCTAAGAGAAGCACTCAGAATTCTTTCATTCAAAAATAAGGAACTCAACCAAAATGCAGGACTGGCTGGCAGAAACAGGGCTTGGAAAGCAGGGGTTGTGTAGAAGAATTTTTAATTGCTTTTGAAAAAGCATCATAGTAAATTACTCAGCAGCACCTTCTTCACTAGCTTGCTGCTTTGAATTTGGCCCATCTAAACTGTGGGTTACTGCCCATGTATGCATTCGTGCCTCACCTAATGATGCCGGTACTGAGCAGTTCCCTTTTAGTTACGTGGCAGTGTGGTAGGACTGAGATGCACTCTGGTACTGCATTTGGGGTACAGAGAGGGAGCTGCCAGTTGAGGTGAACTTAAATCAGCTAACTCAGTGACTGACCTCCTGGTAGCCTCTGTAAAAGCCCACGCAGTGACACACACTTCAGTGTTGCATAGAATCGCATGTTAAAGTGCTCTTTTTTGATTTTGAAGACTTATTTAGCACTCTGTCAGCTGAGCAATCATAACGGGCTGTGAAATAATCTGTGCTCTCATTAATGCAGGGACTCGGTTGTGTTATCACCACCCAAGTGTACGGAGCAAGAAAGGTGCCACTGTTACTGCCTACCAACTCGATTCAGCTAGCATAAGTCAACTGTAATCAGTTTTGTATCAACAAACTTGAACCTACTGATTTATTTTTTATTTTTCTGTTTAATTGCAGGAGACGTGTGTTGTGGGCAGGCATGGGCTGCAGGGATGTTCATGCAGCAACAGTGCTGGCCTTCCTCAGTGGGACAGCATCAGTGGCCGGACTCCTTGCAGCAGTTCTGCTTCCAAACTGGAGGCAAATGAGACTGTACACGTACAACAAGAACGAGAGGAATGTGACCATTTACACTGGACTCTGGATCAAGTGTGCTCGCTTTGATGGGAGCAGAGACTGTGTGATATATGACCCGCAGTGGTACACGGCGGTTGATCAGCTGGATTTGCGCGTTCTTCAGTTTGCCCTTCCACTGAGTATGTTCACTGCTGTCTCAGCTCTGTTTCTCTGCATGATTGGCATGTGTAACACAGCCTTTGTATCAAGCGTGCCAAACGTCAAATTGGCGAAATGCCTTGTGAACAGTGCAGGCTGCCACCTCGTGGCTGGCCTCTTGTTCCTCCTCGCATGTGCAATTTGTCTCACTCCGTCAATCTGGGTCATTTTTTACAACAACTATCTGAACAGAAAATACGAGCCTGTCTTTAGCTTTGACATCTCTGTATTTATCGCCATTGCCAGTGCTGGTGGTCTGTTTTTCACTTCTGTTCTTTTATTTCTGTGGTATTGTGCATGTAAGAGCCTGCCTTCTCCCTTCTGGCAGCCCCTCTATTCACATGCCCCCAGCATGCACAGCTATGCCTCTCAGCCATATTCTGCACGCTCTCGCCTCTCTGCCATGGAAATTGACATTCCTGTTGTGACACACACATCTTAAAGGGACAAAGTCTTGGAAGTCAAATTTTTGAGCTCACTCAAACCGTGCAAATTGCAGGCTTGATTGTCTCTACTGCCTTGCACTGGGTATAATCATTTGTAAGGTCATTTTCCCCAAGATGCACTGCAATGGAGACTTGAGATCAGTATCTCTGTTGTTCTCATGTGTTCTTCCTTGAACAGCCTTCGTAATTTTTGTTTGTTTGTTTGTTTCTTTGCTTTTTCCTCTGAGCTCATTACAGACAAAAATTGCTGCTAATGCTGGGATAGGACACTACAGTATTATCTGTTCGTGCAGGTCGTCCTGCATATCTGTTCATCCTTCTGCTTATTGAGATCAAAGCAGGTTTGAACCTCTTTGCTACTTTGATGAACCGTTTTTAAATTCTGATCCCATTAGAGGAGCTGTGTACATGGACCCTTGCAGCCGTGTATTATCCAGGTGCACACAGTGGGAATGGATATAGGAGTTTCATTAAGTTTCTTGTTAGAGATGAGAAAATAACCTAGCGTAGTCAGAAGTGTGTTATTAGTGGGAGCGGGAAGGTGATTAAGAAATGGGTTGCAGAGCTTTCATCTGGACACGTGTATTTTAAGATCGCATGACTGAAAAGGGGATTTGTCAGACTAATTCAGTTCTGTAGCACTGCTCTCTGTTTTGCAGTGCACACACAAAAAGCCACCTGCTTGTGAACTTCTGCGGTAGAAAGTAGAGTCAAATTACCTTTTATTTTCAAAGTAGCTTTTGAAAGGAATAAGTGATTTAGCTAATAACGTCCTTCTGAACTGTGAGAACGATTGGTGAATTACTGGAGACTAGAAACTTCTGTGAATTTTTTTTCTAGTCTTTTTTTAAGAAGTTAGTAAATTCTCTAGATCTGTTTTGAGATTAAAACAGAGACGGCTTGTATTTAAAACAAAATTTCTTTAAAAGATTGAATGTTTTATTTGGATGCCATCTTCAAGACTTGAAAGATGGATTTGCAAGTCAAACAAGCTTACAATCTATCTGAAATGCTTTAAAGTATTATTCTGTTCTGGGGAGAAATGTCAGTCACTACAAATGGATTAGGAAAACCATGAAGAATTCTGAAGGCTGTGAAAGATTGTTTTAGAATGCTGTACACAAGCTGTAACAATGTCTCTCTAAGAAGGGAATTGTGATCCTGTGGAGAGATTTTTAAATCTAGATTTATTTATTTTTTAATGTGCATATACACAAACTCATTGTTACTTGTATTTTTTACCACTGCTGTTTACAGGAAGCTTTATAGTCTGCAGTTGTTGCAGGACTTTCATGCTGTAGCTTATTTAATTACTGATTAAGACTTTGCCCTTTCAGCCTTGTTTTCCCACACCTTTCCACTGAGCTATTTTAAAAGCCAGTTGTTTCCTACATTTCCACATCCCAGCTGGAGAAAGTGTCCTGTTCCTATTTGCTGTAAGATGTGAGCTCACAAGTTATTAGATGCTTCAAATATGAGGACGGGTTATAAATGCCCAACCTGGTATGTTTAACTCATTTTTACCTCCTTGAATGCAGAGTGGGCCAAATCTGCGGGATCAAAGCTTTTCAGTATGGACTTTGAAATTACTCAGAAATTTGATGATAGTGCATTGGGCACTGTTACAGTTAAGGCAGTTGTTTGACTTGCTGAGATTTTGGCAAATTGAGGTTTGGGTTTTAAGATGTCATGGCAGTATGGAAAGTTATTTTGATTGGCAGCGTTCTGGAGGTTAACAGATATTTGAATTTCATTAATCTCAGAAGAAATTTGTTTTGCTAAACTGAAGTAAGAGATCTTTAGTTCTATTTCTGTGAACTCCTGTAAGGTCTTGAAAATCAGTTCATTTCCTTTATAATAGAAATGTGAACAAATCTTGGGCAAATCTTGTGTTACAGTCTGTGCAATGACAGTGTAGTGAGAGGAATCTCTTTGTGCAAACCAGCAGGCCTCAGAAGCTAGTGGACCAAGTGAGGAAGATGGTCTCTGTTGTAAGTTTCCAGCACAGCCAGTGGAGCTACAAAGCCCTTCCAGAAGGTGACAGTGTGCTTGGTGAAATAGCAGTCTAAGGAATCACTGTAGATGATAAAGAATCCTTGAATAGACAGGCCTCTGAAGTTGCACAAACATTATATCCTTTAAGAAGATATTCTGTTACAAGATATTATGTTAGATGAAGGATCATTTTTTTAAATCAGGTCATTATTTGTATGGGATTAGAACATGTATAATGCCATGCAAGGTCACTTTTTTTTTTTTACTTTAAAATGGAACTTTGCTTTACTGTTACTCTTGCTGTCTAACCACAGACATTGTTGCTGCTGCAGGGACTGCTGCTTTGTGATTTCACATCGCTTTGCTTCCTCCTCCAGTGTCTTTTCTTCTTTGTGCCTTGCTTAAGTTATGAGTTGGCCAGTAAATGTCTGTTTATTGTCAGTGTCTGGAATGCTTTTTACACCTAAATTTATAAAGCATTGTGACTGTTTTGGAGGGGTGATGAGTACATCTGTGAGTGACTTTAAAAGGACCCAAATCTTCAATATCTTCAGAGCCTGGCAGGCCAATGCTTTCTTCGGACAGCAAGTGCAGCCTGTGTTTGGTTCTGTGTAGTTTAGATAGCAGACATCTGTAAGAACTCTTTTGCATTCCAACTTTGATTTATATGCATTAAACTTTCAATTAGTATTTGCTGCTGCCTGAGCTGATAACTTGTTGCTTTGTAAATTATGTCTTTTCAAAAGTCTGATCTATGAAAAGCAGGAATCCAAAAGTTAATGGATTCCAGTGCAAGCCGTAGTTAAGGTAATATTCATCAAAAAAGGCTGTTGCTTCATGCACAGCTAAGTCTCTTTTAACAGTGCTATTAATGTGAGTTGCCACTGGATCCTAAGTGAAGTTAGCTCGAAGTGCTGTGCTCTTTTTCACCTTGTTTACGGAAGGGGTGGCCAACCTGCAATGCTTGAGCTGAGTTCCACTGAGTTCCAGTGGGTCTCTTGCTAAGGTAACTGCTGTACCCAGCAGTAAGCCTGGGGAGGAACAGCGTTCCTGGTGCTTGGAGCAGACACATGTCCTGCAATTCTCTATGGCAGGGAAGAGCTGCTGTGGAACCATTGGCACTCCAGCCTCTGGCCAGCTGCTCCTTCCTGAACAGGCACTCTGGGTCTTGAACACAGGATTTTAATTTGTAGCTCATGCAGTCAAAGGTTGGGTGCTCTGGCTTATGGGAATCTGGCTTTTTTCTTTGTTGTTTTTTTTTTTTCAAGTAATTCCTGTCCAATTTTTAAAGTTGTGTTACATACAGTGTGGATTCTTTTTATGTGAAACAGAAGATATGTATTTTTAATAAAACATTCTCATACGGATGCCAGTTATTTCATTTAATTTTGTGGAGAACAGTAACTATTGGAATATGAAAGATTTTACCTGCTTTGACATTGATCACTAGACTTATCAGGCAGTTTCAGATAACAGGTTCATAATACATAATACGTACTGCATTTTTAACTCCCTAATTTTGTAGTCCTGCTGCTTTAAAAAAACAGACACTTTCTGAACGCCTATTACTTACCATTTCCTTTTGCTTTTATTCTGAAAAGTTCTAGAATTCTTTTTTTTCTTAAAATGGAAAAAGGCTTTTTCTCTTAATCGAGATGGTTAATCAAGATTAATCTCATCTCTGAATCTAGATGGAGCCATACTGCAGGCTCTAGGCCAGAATCTGGTCGGTGCCACGGCAGAGCCAAAGTGGCAGTGTGGCATAAGGAAGAGCACAGTGCTTTGCCTCACAGCCAACACCCCATCTTTTCCCTTGCGTAAGTTCTGCTGCTTGCCCAGCTGTCACCCAGTGCAACTTGCTCATGCGACTGTAAGTGTCATCTGTGTGGAATCACTTTTCTCCAAGATTGGTAAGCTTAGCTTTGTATGTGTTGGGGAAGCAGCGGTGGCATTAGCTGTCCTCCTTCCCTCTCATATGCCAGCTGTGCTGCCAGCGGGAGAATATGCTGCTGCTTTACAGGTGACAGTTTGGGCATCCAAACAACCTGTGACAGTGCGGGGCCACAGCAACGGCTCGTAAGGTTTCTCTTCCACCATGTGCTGCTTCTGCCACTCCCAGCTCAGCAGCACTGTGGGGTTCAGTGTCATGGGACAAAATACAAACTGAACATTAGGAATGCTGAAGCCATACTGCAAGTTCACAAAATGGTCTGGATAATGATATTATGAGCATAATGAGACCTGCTGATAATTTCTCCGTAAACTTCTAGTATTTTAAACTGGCATTCTGGTAAACTTAATCTGTTTGGGAAAGTACTGTTTAGATGAGAGCAATTCTTGTGGAATACACACAGTGTAAGACAGTTGGCAGTGCTACACCTTACCGGAGGAGGTGAAAAAATGCCTGGATATCCTCAGCTTCTCTGGTTTCACTTTCTCCTTTGCTCCATGTTCAGACAGGCCTCCTGTGTTCTGAGAGCTGCTGTGAGGCTGATCGACTGCTGACACAAATACAGAACTCAACAGAGAACTCAGTTTCTACCAAAACATGGGAGTGCCCCATTTTTTTGTACTAACATTCCTAAAAAGCTAACTCATCTATCTTCGCTCATTGAAAACAAATCTCCGAGGGCAGGTTTTCCTATCTTCATTTCACAGGAACTGAGTTTGCATCTGTAGTTCAGCAGCTATTTAGTATGACTTATCCCTTTTTCTATGAGCAGGCACCACAACTGAGCAGCAGCAAATGATTGGTTGTTTTTTTTTTATGTTTTTGCTCCACTGACATATCAGCACTCATCAGACTGGACACAAAGAGGCCTCATCCAAGGGTGAGCAAGCATGTGGTTTCTGATTTCAATACTGCTTCTTATCTGGGTTCCTGTCAGTTTGCTCATCTGAGTATTAGGTTGTTAGGGACAGAGCTCTGTCTTTTGAGTGCAGCAGCTCAAAGGAGCTGTAAATGCTGAACACAAGGCAACATAAATGCAGTGAGCTATGAGTGTATGAAGGTTAAGGAAGCCTCTTTGAAGGAGTGAAACTGGGAAGCTGGACTGCGAGGGCAAGATGGCTGTCCAAGCATCTGTCCTAGTGAAGAGAAAAATATGTAATTAAATCCCATCTTCTTGCTCCTTTTGCTATTTATTTTCTCTTCTGCTTACTTAGTTTTCAGGCTCCCAGACAGCTAATCTGGTTTCCTGCCTGGGCACATGAGCCCCACTGTCAACAAAGGCAGCAGGAATGTGTGAGTAAAGGGCAAGATGAGAACCTGAGGTTGATTCTTTGTAGGACTTTACTTCGAGACATTTATTTTAAGGAGTATTTTGTGTAAGAAAGACCATGCTAATTCTGAAATTTTCTGTGTAAGTTGATTGTGTTTATTAATAAAATTAATACATTGAGTTTATTAGACAGCTTATTACATTTTGACAAAAACATGGGACATAGGTTAGCAAGGAAGAAGTCATGATTCAAAATACAAGACTTTCCAAAGTTTGTTCTCTTTTCTTTCATTTCTTCCTCATTCACTTAAAGGAGCTATGGCAAGGAAAAAAAGGGAATGAAGCAAAAATAAAAGTATTTAAATTAAATGGTAAGATTACACTGCTTTAAACTATGCATTAAGAAATTTCAACTCATGCTGATACTGGTAAGTGACAGATCTGAATATTAACCTATTTGCCTTAGCTTGTGGTTTGATCTGAATGGTTTAATGCTATCTCTGAAGATATCATAGTGGATGACTTATGGCGCGGTTCTGACTCTAACCAGTTCAGCAGCAATAAACTGCTCAGGCTCCAGAAGCAGCCGATGTGGAATTACATCCTCCCAAAAACAAACCCAGTGGGAGGGTATTTTTCTCACAGGACAGCCATAGGTAAATCAGACAAATTTTGTTGCTTTCCGTGGCAGCCTATTCTGCTTGATTCTGCTATGCTGCTCCTAGAGATCGCCTTGAGAATAGAAGCCCAGCCATAAAAAAAAAAAAACCAATTCCCTTTCCTGTTCTTTCTCAGATTTGTGAGGCAGGCACTTCCAGACCTGCTTAGCTCTGAGCTGCCATCTGCAGAGATGCCCAAATGCTCTTGGTTCCGTAACAGCAGAGGTGAGGGTATGAGGGTATTTCCCTTGAAGGTAATTGGGAGGGTGAGCCTAATGGCTGCCAGCTGGGTGACACATAGGCAATCACAACACATGACAATTCTGGCACTGCTGCTTAGAAATACTGAGGTGCTGGTGGGGCTTTCATCAGTTCTTCTGTCAGCTGCTTGCTGGATTAGAGGGCTCATAATTCATGATGGTACACTGATTCTGGTTAGTTTGCTTGTACGTGTACAAATGCCATGTGGCTGCCTCTTAATTAGCCAGGGAGTTACGAGAACCTTGAGAACCACTAATCTTAGCTGCTGAAGCCTATATGCCTCACTCAAGATGTCTTCTGAGAACTGTAATTCTCTCATGCTCTTAGCACTAATCTGCTTAGAGTTCCTGTTGGAGATTTTGAGCACTGGGCAAAACAGAATCTGTTTGGGCCACAATTTCCTACTTAAGAAAGCAAGATTCAAATGCATCACAGAGCTATATTTCTTTTCTTAAACCACAGAAACTTGGGTCTTTTAGATAACGTGAAAACAATAAATTTGATGAAAAATGCTTCTGAGCTGCCTAGCATATTCATACTGAAGTATGAAAGAACCCTTTTGATTCTCAAGTCAGCTAAGTAAGTTAATGCTTCCTGAGAAGAAAGGTTGCCCTTGCCAGTTTCTATTCCTAGAAGATTTTCCTTTTCTTTGAAGGCCCTTTCTGTGCCCTTTATTGGCAGTTCATTCCCTAAAGAATTCCAGGCTCACCTCCCTGTTTTCTCAGGCTGGGAGAATTGGTTCTTTGGGGCCAGATCCCCATAATAGCTCTGCAATAGTAACTTCTCGCACGACAAGCTGTCTCAGATGACATCTTGTTATTGCTGTAGCGTACCAGAGAGGACAGGAGGATCTGTGAAAGCTTCTGTACGATCTATCACAGATAACATAACATACACCTGGATTGATTTGCTTCATTACTGCCATACATTAGTAAGCTAAAATTGATCATATTTCCTAGGCTGGTCCTGGAAATGAATTCTTTTTTTTTCTCCAGAGCTATTTTATAGTGTTTTGAATTTTGTTACTGATAATCCTCTATTGCAGCTAGTTAACACGTTTTCTTTGGTTTATTCCTATGCTGCTATTAGTTCTGAAACAGAAGCTTTCTACCTTGAGTACAGGGGAGCCTATATTGTGAAACTTACGTATTTCAGTCCCTCCAAAGGAAAAAAGATATAACTAAGTGCTACAATCAAGATCCACGGTGAGCAATTCTGTGATACATGCTGAAATGCTGCATTCCTGCTTTTAAATATGACAATTTTATGCTGCAAATGAAATAATAAAAAAGACTTATTTTCTTTGGTGGTGAGGAATTAGAATCCATACCTAATTACTGGCCACGAGTTTTGTGCAATGTTCTTGAATTAAAGGGACAGACGGGATGATAGAGTCAAGATACAACAAGAGTATTGGCATTCAATTCTTGAATTACTCCAGTTGATAAAAAGAAAAAAATAATCTATCAGTACTCTATATGGAAAGCAATCAGGACAGAGAATATTTGAGAACAGATACAATCTTTCAAACTGTAGTACTGATATATAGTATTCTGAACCAAATCTGAGTGTGTTGCAGAGGGTAAAGAAAAGCTGGAGTGCTGACAAGTCAGTAAATGCACTGTATTGAGAGCAAGATCCAGTGTCCAAGTTAAATTGTACATTAAGTCACGTGTAATAGATTGTGAACTGTCAAGGGAAAATCTGGACCCCTCACACTACAGAAAATGGTCTAAATGAAAGCAGCTGTGTGGTTAAATTCTTCTCCCATACTCTGACACTGAATAGTTAGCTGATCTTTATCAGATTTAACAAAATAAATCCTCCATAAGTTAGATAAGGCCTGGGAAATGGCAGCCAAGGGGTATTTTCTGTCAATCTGCTAAACCAATAGCTTAAATCAAGTGGAGTTATTCATTGCTGAAATGCAGCAGGACCCTTCTTCCGCTGGGCTCTTCAATTTCATGATGCTCCTGTTTACCCTACCCCCAACTGACTGCCGTTCTTCGAAGTGTTTCTTGTTCCAGCTACAGTTAAGGAAATGTAATACGGCAAAAATAATGAGAAGTGCAAAACATGCAATTAACTCCATAAATAGTTACAGATAATATGAATAATATACAATTCTACTTATTCTGGGGAAAAACACAGTATCCTGGAAATTTGCACCCAAATTTCTTTAGAGAGCAATGGCAATTTGAAATAGCAGAAACCAAGTCATCGTGA